ACCCTTATGTTCTACTTGGAACCAAATTGCACGAACCTGGCAACATAAACTCATTAGCAAACACGTTTGATCTTACGGGAGGCTCACCCTGAACCCAGCTGAATCTCTCGTTTGTGATGTTTCCACGTTGAGTTCCAGGTGAGTCTCACGCAAAATCAAATTTGTTCGCAAATCAGTGCATTTCGCTAATTTCTTGCAATTTGGTTTCAAGTAGAACATAAGATTGACGAAGACTCGGGACTGCGCCTACCTGATGAGCCCCAAGAAGGACGAAACCGGTCGTGGGCTGTCGACGGATTTTCAGTAAGCTTATGAGTAGTGCGTTACGTCTGTATATGTATCGCGATGTCTCGAATATCGTAGCAACCGGAACATGAGGCGGCCTAGTGCGGCACATCACAAATGAGAGGTTCAGTTGTGTTCCAGGTGAGTCTCTCGCAAGACCGAATTTGTTTGCAAGTGTGTGTATTACGCAGGTTTTGTTCAGACGTGCCACTCGGTGGAAATCTTAACATCTCTGCAGCATATGGTAAAGACTGCGTGGGAGTTTCCAACGTCTGATATTGACTTAATCCTCTTTGCGGGATAACCCCATTGACTTTATTCATCTGGTTTGCATACTTTGTCTGCAAACTTTTACAAGTAACGCATGATACACTCGGCCCACTGGTCAGCTTGTTATCTAGCCGGATGGCTATCAGAACTGTCACCATTCCAAATGTAGCTTTGAAATGTCTAAACGGTCATTATAAAGTCTTCATAGTAAGTCACCTACAACCTATGTTAGTTCTCAAAACTGAAGATTCTATCCCATAAGATTTCCCCATCAGAAATTTCAACGAGCGTGACGGTCACGGGACGTCAGAAGTTAAGAAATCTAGCCAAGCATTCGCCTATTCCAACAGTGTATTTATTGACCAAAGGACCAGCATCATGGGTTGGGATATCTGAAGACAGTGGGAACTATCTTGTATATCACGTGACCAATCGTCCACGCTATAGACAAAAAATCGTCGTACTGCCCTCTGAAAGGACATTTTCAAATGGTTCTTCAAAGTTGGTAGTGAATTTCAAGACACTACAAAGTCTGCTTCCACGGTTGGAGTAAACATATCTTTTTTGGGTTTATTCTGTTCAGGATAGATCGCCCTGACGACAAAATATCTCTCACTGGTATTTTTGCATCAGCAACCAGATATGTCTTCCAGAAAGTTCAATATAAAATCTCTTAACTGACACAATTTCGACGCTTGTGTTACGGATTTATTCATTCGTATTCACAGTATATGCGAACTAAGGATGAAACATTGGTAAGCCCAAACATTTACTGCACCCAGTTTCTCAACCCGTCTGACTGGAATCAAGTGTTTGTCGGGATTATAACCCAAAAAACACTCAACACCGATGTGGCCTGCTGATGCGCAGAGATTTGCTGGTTGGTTTTCTTCATGACCTAAAACTAGACCAAACTTTCAAGCTAGTCATTTAGCCCGACGAATCATTTGTGGCAAAAGGAAAACTTCATCAGAACTTTTCTGGTTGAAGTGAGTGATGGTCGATGTCAATTGCCATTACGGAGAAGCCGTCGCTTTTCGGAAAGGAAGCAGCGGCACAGCTTGCTCAGTTGCCTTATTGGCTGCTATCGTTCGTGCTACTTACGCCCATCGACAATGCACCAATCAGATTTGGCCACCCACCAGTCCTCGGATTGGTCAATCCATCCATTCCTGTTCACGATCCATGCATGCACGACTCGTCAAAATAACATATACTTGACTTTCGAGCATTTGGTACTATCATTTGCTTGCGAAATTCGGGTTGAAATACAAGTCTGCGTATTTTCTGGCTTTCCACTGTTGCATCGGTCTCATCAGATCCCGTAGGTGGGCGAAATGCAGTCGTATGATTAAGAACAACGTGGGACCCACCGGTCGTATTCAAAGTCAAGGCTCGGGTTGCGATTAAATAACAATCTTGAGCTTTTTAAGCTTGGGTTTCAGTAGTCTCCTCTCAGAAAAGACTAATTTTGGTAGGTAGTCCTTCCAGGGGGGGAACTATGCAAGACATCGAAGCGACAGTTTTAAAGACTGAATTTTTGGGTCAGTACGGAATTGCCCCATAATAAAAACCATACCCACGAAACAGAGAAACGATTTTTGGGGATCTGGCTTCGAATGACTTCATTTAAGTTTATGAGAGGACATACCGACTGATAACTGTAGAATCATGTTAACACGGAACAGAAATTATAAAATTATGTAATTATGTAATTATGTAGTAACCAGACCTTATATTGCACGTGTTAATCTGATGACCGAATGGATCTTTATAAGAAGCCAGAAAATTTTTTCCGTTAGAGGATTTGACACCAAAATATGTTTTAAAAAGTAAGTAAAAGCGTTTTCTTTCCAGCGACTGAATAGTACTGTCAAATCGAAGCTGGATTCTTAGGACCCTAAAAGGGTGGCCCCTGTAACTGAGTCGGTAGGTTACATTACTGAGTAGAACGATGTCCAACACTTGCTCTGGATTCGTCTTGCGTCCGTTTACACATCAGTGTCTTGGACCTCTTGCTATTCTTTTGCCCAAGGCTAAAATTAACCAAGATGTTTTCAGGAGTAAACGAAAATCGTGCGTGTTTGTTGAGACATATTGACGTAACCCTCAATGGTGAACTTCCTCAATTGGAACAGTGGCATGCAGCCAGCAGAAGGCATCTAACGGAGCTTGTTTCAGAGTGGATTTGAGACTTTTCCTTATAGAAAAAGAAACTTAATACGATGTGAGTCCGGAATACCGCACAGTATTGGTGATACTTTAGAACTGATGACAATAGTTCCTGAACAGTGCGAGGACTACAAATCTCTGCTCGGAATCAACTGAATATGCTGATTTGCTGGGCTAATTTGGCCTTATAAATAAGCTGGCGTTGAGTAAGCAGGTTAATCCTGTGAAGCGGAAGAACAGAACAATATAGATTCATTATGCGAATCAGTCATCTTTCAAGATGAATAGGTACGCAAAAAAAAGAAGACAATGTCCGCTCAGTGCGCTGAAAGGAGTCATTTTCTGATAACCCTGGGGAGCCTGTGGACTGATAAAGGCTATCCGGAACTGAGGAGAACGCCCGAAATACCGCAAAACAGTGTCTTTCCCTTAAAAGTTATTGCATGGAACTTTAAGAATATCATGGGTTTTTGAAGACTGCCTAGCTCATCCCAACAAACAATGCTCCTCAAGCAATCAGATGCACTACGGCAACCAAACCTATCGCGCATCCGCTCGATTTTGACGCAATTTCGCTCACGGTTCTTATTACTTTTGTCACGCACATGTAACTTAACACCGCGTGAGCTAGGACGTGGTGGTAAGAACATGTGAGATCCACGAAAACGTTTAACAACATTGGTTAAATCTGGATTTCAGTACACACATGTACACGAATATATCCTGCAAATATCAAGTCCATCAGATTTACCGAGAATCGTGCGATTAGCTGTCGGTCTATTCAGCTGGTTGATCGTGACCGTGACTGACGGCTGTAAGTATAGTTGAGTCAAGGCCAAACAAACCAAACTTTACATTACAAACAAACAAATACCCACATCAGTGAGTACTGTCGACCCGCAAATTTCATCAAGGCAACTCGGGTCAGACCAGACCAAACAATGTGACGAAACGTGGTGATGAACAAGAAAAGGGCTGAGAAAACCTGTTGGTATGTCGCTCAAGATCTACACATCAGAATGCCAGGATAAGTAAACAGAACTTGGGGAAATACTCAGCAAAGAAAGAAGTTTAAAACAACATTGACAGTGTGTTTAATGTGGCCATGGAGATCGAGTGTCTTCACGGCTTCAGAGAGCACCAGGTAGATCTGCTAGGGTCGGATTCAGGATTCAACTAACTTTTAAACTAACTTGATTCTAACTTGGGACGAAGTTGAATCTTAACTAAGTCTCCTTTTTGCGGTACTTTTTCATGTCGAAATCAGCCATTTTGGGTTCAAGTAGAACCTAAAGAAACTCGGGGACTGCGCCCACCTGATAAGCCCCAGGAATAGCGAAACCGGTCGTGAGCCATCGAAGCGTTTTTGGAAAATTTGTAAGTGGTCTTCTCTATGAAAATATACTAAGACATCTCGAATATTTTGCCAACTGAAACATGAGGCAACCTGTGTGCAGCACATTCACTTGTAGAATATCATAAACGAGAAAACCAAATTGATTTGCAAAAGGTTGTATTTCTCGAAAACAGTCCACTTTGGGTTGACGGAAGGTCGGGGAATGCGCCCCAGGAATAGCGAAACTGGTCGCGGGCTGTTGAAGTGTTTTTGGCAACTTTGTGAGTAGTTTTACTCATGAAAATATAATGTGATATATCCAATATCCTACCAGCTAAAACATGAGGCGGTAGCACATTCATTCCAGGCAAACCATAAACGAGATATTTAGTTGACTCTCCCATGAAAATCGAATGCAAATGAGGGAGTGCATTTGTCGCGATTTTTCTTCTCTACTCGATTTACATGGAGGTACGATTTGATACGCGTCATCCACACAATGGCTCTTTCAAGCCTAGCCCATGAAGAATGGTAAGAGAGCAGTTTATCAACTGCTGACCCTTCCAAAACTGTAGTATACAGAGCGTTTGTCCCCCTGACTTCGGGGCCCGGTGTATTATCAGCAAGGCAGTTATGTGTGCTCTGTGCTTCTTAGAAAGGCTGAGCCATGCAGCCAGATATCTAGAACATCCATGCAGCTACCAGCGACTCCGCTCATGATGCCTGAAACTACTGTTGGAGAAACCACAACCCCTGATACTGAAGTTTCCTTTCCGTTGAGGAAAAAAGTTTCGAGCACCATTCCAGTTCGGGCCACGACATGTTCTGTTCCGGACTCAGACTTGTTCCCCCGGACCCATTGGAGTCACTTCTTTCTCGGTATCTCCTCCTCGCTGGTATTCTCTGTGTTGTCATCTACTGCTTCTCTTCTCCTTACCCTGCGCTCTCATCTTCCTCATCTTCAGCTTCATCGCCTTCACTGGCGGATTCTTCCTTTTTCGCAGAATCCTCAATTTCCTTTATTCCAGAATTCCAGTTCAAGTCATTGACTTGCCTGTCGAGTGCATGCCCCACAGAACGGTAGCGTCTGTGAGTTGTGAGATTCATCTGTTTCTGATAAGATTACTTGTGGTGTGTAGACAGGCTCGGTTGCTTCACTAAAAGAACCGTTGGCTACAGATACAGATGACGGGATTAGAAGCTTAGAAGCCAAATAAAGATGATGAAGAAATCGGTGCACCTTTTCAACCCTAAAACTCCGTCACCTTCTGTGGATGTTTACATTAAATTAAACTGCTTCTGACGCAGGTACCAGGGGCAGCTCTGTAGGTCAGGGATGTGAAGTTCCTCCTGAACGTTTTTTCGCAGAGCGAGGACCCCTCTCTCCTCTGTGTCATCCAAAATAGGTCATTTTCAAAAAGATGTTTGAGGAAGGCGGGATACGATGATAACATCCTTGACATGCTAAGGTAATCGCAAACGAACCTGTGTTGACCGACTCTTTGAGTGTCAAGTAAGTGTTATTCCCTGTTCAAATCACGTGCTCGGACCACCTCTCCTCATTTACTCATTCATCATATTGTACTCAGCAAACTACTGATTTGTTTCCGGGATGTTTGTCCTATTTGTTCCCTTTCTTCCTTGTCCTATGCAGGAATTACGGTGGTTAGAATTGAATCTACCTTGACATCGTGATAGTCCATCATTTTGCTTACTCTACCTATTGGTCTTTCCACTTGTTTCATCCCCACCTCAGTACTCGTCATTCATCTGGTGGCTTGGGCCTATCCTGGTATACTGTCTGTGTGTGGCACTAACCTACCTACCTATACGTGTTCGTGCGGTCGTGTTTCCGTATGATCTCACTCGCAATCAGAATCCGCAATCAGAACCACCAGACTGGTCTCGGAAGGTACGGCCGCAACCCAGCGTTCAATTCACAGCTGTCTGTTATACGAAAGTTGGCGCTGAGCTGTCCAAGTCAGTGACTGACTTGTGAGTGTATTGAACATGATTATAAACAATTGAGGTTTGTTGTGTAACCTTGCTTACTTCTGTGTAAACAGTACCGTAGACTATCGAACGCGCTCATTTTGATATTTTTGCTTACTTCTGTGTAAACAGTGCCTACCATAGACTATCGAACGCGCTCATTTTGATATTCAAGATCTCCAAACCGAAGGGTGACTCAAGGTTCCGCATCGGGAACCTGGGATTCCCGGATCGATTTGGACGTAGACCAAGAGTAGTCTGCAAAGAATAGAGTCGCTTACAGTCAGGTAGGTTGAATCACTTGCCCATCGACTGTGTCCATAGACATGAGATTCAAGACGATGATAAAAGGGGTAATCGTTTCATTGTGTTTGACTGTTCGTGTGCATCAACGAAAGTATCGGTCATTCATTCCCAACAGATTTCGATGGAGAGGTTTGAAAATTACAGTTTAGTAATCTACGTTCCATAATAAATCACCCCAGTTGTAAAAGAAACTGAGTTACTCAGGAATAATTGGGTGTCTTTTTATTCATTAGTCTGTGGTAGAGTTTGCTTATCGCAACTCCCCTTCTAGCCTGTTATCGCATTGTATAGAATCCATCGTCTGCGATGATCGTTTACCTGACCCTTATCTGCTTTTTGTAATCAACCAACACGCCGGTATCGAGTGATTATCGCTTGGTTACGGATACATCCAATAGTAATGTTTTCTCCTCATGGCTGTAACATCATCCAATGTTATTTGGATTCATCCAGATTCATATCGGAGATTGCCTGTAAACTTGTTGATCCGAACGGTTAGGGGCTAACTCTTCATTGAAATCCCGTGCTTCAGATAAACTTAGCGGTTAATTCGACACGTTGCGTTATGTGTACGAATTTTATGCAATCCCCAGTTCGATGGAACTGATGGGATTTAGTCCCGATGTTTTGATGGATATCCTAATTAATGGTGGCTCTTTGAGAAGATCTGTTAAGCCATTTCACTGAAACCAGATCACCCAGTGTGTCACAGAAGAAACAAAAACCGGGAACAGATTGCGCGCCTGTGGCTGGCATTTGAGCTGTCTCAGCTCGGGCGACACATTGGTTGGACAAAAACTTGAATGTAGTTTAGAAGGGACCTAACAGGAGAAAAGATTTGACGTCAACTGTGGTCGACGCGCTGGTCGATTGACGGGATATTGGATTTAGGATGACGCAACCGGGATAAAACGCAAATGGAAAGGAAAATGTCAGCTTGGGAAAATGGCTGACGATACTGACATAACAAATCCCCTATCACAACTGGCTTATCTGTTGCAAGACATGGGAACCCAACCCAAGATTCTGGGACCTTTTCACTGTCACGGTGAGTTTGCTCGTTCGATTCAGACTCTATCACTGACAGGCACGAAAATTCCAGCTAGAGTTACATATTTTCTGACAGTCTTAAATAGGCAGCCTGAATCCGATTACTTTACGGCAGTGAGACTAGTAACAGCCAATTGTGAATTTTTCAACCACGCTTTTCAGGGACGAACCAATTATATCACGAGAAAACATTGGGAAATCATAGTGTTGAGGACCCTTCGGAAATCTGACAGATGTCAAATGCCAGTCCAAATTCGATAGACATCACCAAACAGACAATAACCTCACCTGATGTCACATCATCGACGAATCCCAAGAAAGAGAGGCTTTGTGACGTGTGCAACATAACATTGGGGTTCTCAGAACGTCTGCAACTAAGAAGACTGTGAGTCAAGATAAAAGGTAGTCAGCAGACTTTGGCACATTGTAAATAAAGCTGGTCCCACCATTTTGTTGTCCATTTTAGTTTAGGTCTTCCAAACCGAAAGGGTGATTCAGGCAGTCGACATGCTGATCTATTGGTTCTGGGAATTGTCGGAGAACAGTCGACAGCTATTTAGAATTATATGATAGTTCTGGTGTAACACACGTTTAGATGCTTGAAGGGAGTACAAGAGCTGAGGTATTGCCAGATTGTTCGAGCCTTGACAGAAGTAGTCAAGATTCAGCGGCTGGGTTCGAACGACGAACCTTGCATTCAGTAAGTCTGCACCTTAGTCACTACGAGAGTTCGAACTCTGTTTAGCAACGCATCTGCAGTCCTCTTCCGTTGGAATATCATTGGTTTGCTCCCGCAGTGGATTTCTCGATTCCGTGGATGGTTCGTACATTCACAAAGTAACGCAGTTTCTGCTGTGTCTTTTACAGATCGATCTGCTTAATTATTGCTTTTCTGCCTCTTACTGATGACTGTTTTCACATGCATCCGGACTTACCTGGTTGTGTATCCAGATTACTTGATTAACCAGTAGTAGTATGTGACACCTTCTCACCGAAACCCAATGTTTGTGTGACGAAGCCTCTGTCAGCACAACAAACACTTTATTGTGGAACTGTACGTGTGGGCATTTTTCAATTTGGTCCCCGTTTATTTGTTGAAGTCAACCCATATGAATAGCCCAGAGACACTATGCGATCGTTTTACACCTATTTGGAACCATTAGTAGTATGCATCGAGCACTTTCCAACAAGTAGTTTAAACAGTGAACTGTTCGGCCACGAGCATCTGATCGGCAGCATTCTAATCACGTGATTTGTTTTTTACTGACTCCTTCAGTTGCCTATTTGCTGGTGGGTGTTCTTGATCCACTTTGAAAACGTTTAATTTTTTGGACGCTTTCGGACAGTTTACTAAGAAATTCCCATAGGTTGATTCCGCTTACTTTTATTGTTTGTTTGCCAGTGTCCCATCAAAGAAAACTGTCGATTACTTTTGTGGCTACTATACTTAATCTAATTCTCTACTTAGTGTCCCATTTGATTTATGCTACTCTGTACACAAACATTCGTTTTGCTTTTAAGGAATGTGCCAGATCGACGATGCTGTGACAGTCCATTAGATCTAGTATTCGCAGACTGATTTTCGCTCCTGATCATAATTTTATTTTGTTTTTCTAGCATGATGAACATCATTTTTGCTAACTCGTCAGTGATCCACAAACTTGAATCTAATGGAAGCCTACCGTTCCCGTAGGTTCCTAAAACTGGAAGCTAGAAAATGTTCTTGCGACGCACTGTCCACCATAGTGGCTGTCATACACGTACTACACTACCCATAAGGCGGGCGAAAATTTCTCGACACCCTACGACCGGTTTCGTCCTTCTTGAGACTCATTAGGTAGGCGCAGTCTATGAGTTTCCGTCAAGCTTATATTCTACTTGGACACAAATTGCACAAAATTAGCGAAATACACTCATTTGCAAACAAATCTGGTTTTTCGAAAGACTCACACGGAACCCAGCTGAATTTATCGTTTATGATGTTTGTAAGCAACTAATTGTGCTGCACCGAGCCGCCTCATGTTTCATTTGGTACGTTATTCGAGACATCGCAAAACATATGTAGTCGTAATACACTACTCACAAAGTTGCTGAAAATTCTTTGACAGCCCACGACCGGTTTCGCCCTTCTTGGCGCTCATCTGGTCGAAACATCATGAACGAGAAGTTCCCCTGTGTTCCAGGTAAGCCTCTCGCAAAACCAAATTTGTTTTCAAATCAGTGTATTTGACTTTTATACACTTCCAACTTTCTGTCGTCTGTCTCATACAAGCGAGGCATAGTAAAAGCACTGTTTTACAGAACAAACAACATGTGTCACATACCAACTGACCGAGAAACAAAGCCTCCTAGAACAAACTTGAATCGCACACAACTGCCCCGAGAGATTCACCACCTACCATGGTAAGCCGTACACGCCGACTTCGAGGAAAGAACTCAGTTCACCGTCCAAGGGTACCACACTGCTAATAATATGTGAGAAAAATTCAAATCTGCAAGAGACTCATCTGGAACCCAGCTGAATCTCTCGTTTGTGTTGTTTAATTCTGCGATCCACAAAAGTCACTTGGAATGTCAACTTCTCGTTATCTGCCTTCGAGATCATCATTATCCTATTCACCCAATCCAATCTCGATTGGATTGCATTCGTGCTTGCTCACCAGGTGTATTCCAAAGAGTTTACATTGACATCCGTGTACTGCAATTAACAACTTCGTCCGGTTTCACTGAAGCCTAGTTTGCAGTTATTCACAGGCCTCCAGTGATTCAACATCTGTGACGTGGCTGGTCTGTTCGCAATGCCACGTGACCATGGCAATGAAGTGTACCTTTTCAGAACTAGCTGACGTGTAATTCTGTGAAAAAAAATTGAACCAGTAAACATTTGCGTCCGAGATTCAGCGCGGCTTTCAAACTGATCTGGCACATAAGCACGATAAGCGGTAGAACAGGGGGAGGGGCAGTTTTCTTCCACCAAGGACTGCATTTTAAAACCTGAATGAGAGAAACCTAACTTGCCACCTCAAATTGAGCCTGTTATTGTAATCTATGAAAACCGGCTGACGGACATTGAGGGGCAGAATTTCATGCCGACGAAATAAGGTCTTCAATATATTTTGTAATGCACTACTCATAAGGTTGCTGAAAACTCCTGGACAGCCCACAACCGCCTTCGCCCGGTTTCGCCTGGAAACATAAAAACCGAGAAATTCAGCTGGGTTCCAGGCGAGTCTCTCGCAAAACCAAATTAGCTTGCAAATGAGTGTATATTCGCTAATTTCGTGCAATTTGGTTTCAAGTAGAACATAAGGTTGACGGAAACCCGGAGACTGCGCCTACCTGATGAGCCCCAAGAAGGGCGAAACCGGTCGTGGGCTGTCGATGGATTTTCAGCAACCGTATGAGTAGTACATTACAAACATATGCATGTATCGCGATATTTCAAATATCGTAACAACTGAAACACGAGGCGGCCTGGTGAATGCAGCACATTCAGTTGCCTGGACACATCAAAACCGAGAGATTCAGCTGGGTTCCAGGTGAGTTTCTCGGAAAACCAAATTATTCTGCCAACGAGCGTATATTCGCTAAGGTCTTCAGTAATTCTACATCAGGCCAATACAAGAAAGGGAAACTCAAGCTAATGAGGATTGATAGGTAGGCTTTCTTTCAGGCAGATGGGCAGACACATACGCACGCACAAATTTAAATTTTCTTAACAATTAATCGTCCAGTCACAAGCAAACTGTCAATCAGCTGTGGGTTGCATGTCCACTTGGTTTATTAAGCCGAATCCCAACGGGGCGGAAAGTGTGAGTGTTTATTTTTATAAGAAAGCCGAGTTGAATTCCGCGGTCTAGCCATGATTAGATCAATGCCGACAATGCTGTCTCGCGTTTTTA